GAAATACTCTGAGTTATGGATTCATAGGACTCAAGAAGTTACGAGTTCATGGACAGATTTTCTTATTTTTAAATTGTAATATCAGTCCCTTTACTAGGAGAACAGAAGACTGTGTTATCTTAACTGGCACAGAAACTCCCATGATTCAAGTGGTCTCTCAGAGTCCTTTTCTGACCCCCCATATGACTGATCAGTTTTCTCCTTTGTCAGCTTCTGTGTGAGCTCTTAGTTCGTGCTTCGTTAATTTGCATTTGCAGGAATTTTGCTTCATAAAATGTGGCTTTGGGTTTTATTCTAAGGAGGAGGAGGAAGGGAGTGTGCATGCCAAGCTGCATTTAAAAGCACTGCTGTTTCCTGCCTCCGCCAGTGGCTTCATGCTCTGGATGCCTTGGCTATTTGAAATGGGACAGAATCCCATCCAGGGGGACCTGGAGTCCCCCCTCCCCAAGCACCCCTTTATTTACTCTCTCTGACACCCCAGGTTTTGAAAGTGCTACCAGACTATGATCTCCATTCATCTGTAGAACTGAACTGGGTGGTAAAGCTTTGGAATCAGACGTATTTCAATTTGAACCCCAGTTCTGCCAATTACAGGCTAAGTGATCTTGATTAACTTATCAGAGTTCTCACCCTCAGTGTTTCTCATCTGCAAAATGGAAAATGGTATTTCTATAACATAATTATGGATGTCCTTGACTTAAGGTGGTTTGACTTAATGATTTTTGGATTTTACGATGGTGCAAGAGTCATATGCATTCAGTAGAAACCATACTTCCAGTTTTAAATTTGGGTATTTTCCTGGGCTAGCAATATGCCACATGATCCTCCCTCGTAATGCTGGGCCACAGTGGCTGCAGTCCCCAGTCAGCCATGCACTCATGAGGGGGAACAACGGATACTATTAAAACCACTCTGAACCCACACAACCATTCTGCTTCTCACTTTCAGTACGGGATTCAATAAATTACATGAGAGAGTCAACAGTTTATTATGAAACAGGCTTTGTGTGAGATGATTTTGCCCAAGTGTAGGCTAATGGAAGTGCTCTGAGCATATTTAAGGTAGGCTAGACCACGCTACAATGTTGGGTAGGTTAGGTATATTAACTGCATATTCGACTTACAGTATTTTCAACATATGATGTGTTTATTGGGACATAACCCCATTGTAAGTAGAGGAAGATCTGTATTAATATAATATAATACAATATAATATAATATAAATATACTTATTAGAATTCCTTGGAAGAGTAAATTAGTGCATGAAAAGCCTTTAGCTTTTCACAAGGAGCTACCTCAAAAAATAGCTGTCCTTTTAGTTTTTTAAGAGAGTTCCCCACTTAAAAAAATTAATCAAATACACATCTCTAACTGCCAGTCAACTTGGATGAACCTGTAATACCAAGGGCGATGCTCTGAGTTAGTGTAATTCCAACCAAAAGCAAAAAAAATCCAGATTTTTAGTGCTAAAAATTGTTTAGCCTTTCCATAGGTAAACGTACTATTTGATTTTTAAAAAAACGATGATAATAGCTTATGTACCCCTTTTTACTATTTTCTTAACCCATAAAGGTCTAGGGGTCCAAGGATGAGAAATAGTATCCTTGTTCCTGCTTTGGCTTCCAGATTGGATAGGTTTAAATCAACCCAAGTACACTTTTGGAGCATTTGTTTGGGGACAAGGAGCACTGCTTAGTGAAAAAAAAAAAAAGCATGGTCTTTATTGCCCAACAGGCTTATGTTTAAGTCTAGTCTTGTATTTACTTGCTGTGTTACTCTGAACAAGTTCTTTAACCTCTCCTGAGTCCCAGTTTTAGCTTCTGTGAAATAGGAATAATTCCTGCCTTACAGTTGTCATGTGAATCAGAGGAGATAAAAAGCCCCAGGACAGCATCTGATACACTGCAGACCTTCAGTTAAATGATGGCGGCTGTTACTTGTATTAGTTTGGGGAGTCTCGTCAAATTTGAAAATTTACTCTTAGTTAAGAGCGGCTGTTGGTTTTAAAATTAGGAGTTCTTTTTATGCCAGAAAGATTTATATATGAATAAATACGGCATTTCAACCTTCTAGGAAGCTTACCTATTAGAGAAATTACTGTATATTGAGAACAGGAGGCAGGAGCTCTGAGGTCTAACATGGCTTGCTTATTCATTCATCTGTGCATTCAGTCAACATTCTTAAATGCCTACAACATGCCAAGCACAGTTGTAGGTACTGGGGATACAGCGAATAAGACCTGGTCCCTGTCCTCAAGGTGCTCACTGACTGTAAGGGAGACAGATATTCCAAGTCCTCACCAAGACCTCTGCGTCACCCTTTCTGCTAATTATCCTTCTTAGTTTCACTTACCCTTGTATCTGGTAGAGATCTCAGTGTTCATTCCTTTTGCCGCTCTAAACAATACCTGAAAATCTTCATGCTATAGTTTTTCCACTGTATTTGCTCTGGGTCAACTTAACCATCTACCTTCTGCCCAAGAGTATTTGGGTAGCTGTAGAAAATGATCCAATCACATAGGTCGGAATAGCTGGATACATCCATGCTCTCCACACCCAGCTAAGCTCTCCATATCACTCAATAATTCTTTGCCTGGCCCTGGTCACTCCTCCCACCATTTTCTATGTCCCATGATCTGGTCTTGTTTACCTTTTCACCCTCATCAGTCTGCTTTCTTCCTCTCAGTTCATCCTTGAACATTAAACACACACCCTGACTGGGATTTCCTACACATACTGTAAAATTTCTGCCTTCCCCTGACTTTGCTCAGGGCATCCCCCAGTCCTGGGAAGAGGGAGCCCTGATCAGCATGGATTCAAGTAGTCAGTTCCTTGGCAGATACATCTCCAGTGCAGAGATGAGTGCCTTAGGTTATCATAGCTAGATGATGTGATCATCCATTTCTTTGATCTCATGATTACAAAGCAACTTCAATGTTTATAACTTGGGTTTTCAAATAGACTTTCTACAGGAAGAAAATATACTGACAGTCGTATCTTGCATTATAAGTGAATGAATTTATACCCTGGAATTTATACCTTTTATGAGTTTAGTTACTGTGGTCACTCCTTTTGTGTATCTTTAGTTTGGGATATACTAACAAAATTGAGTTTCTGGATGGAAAAGCCATGGATCAAAGTGCTACACCCACATAGACAATACCAATGTAATTAGCTGGCCTCCTGAGACAGTGTATCGCTCTCACCTCCCTACATCAATAATGACTTCCAAAGACGTCAACAGCTCCAAGATCATTCTGCCTCAAGACAAAGATGTAACAGAAAAAAACATGGAAAAGAATAGGGAGATTATTCCTTTTCATGATCTGGTCATTATATTTCTACTAATGTATGCTTGTCCTCTCGTAAGACCACCCAGATATTTTCCTCTGAAAAATAGCACATAATGAGCTCCTTAATTATGTCCCAGTGAACTGATTTTTTGAACGGCGAATGTTGGAGGATGTGCGTGTGTGTGTGTGTAAAATGTGATCGCTGTCATCTCTCAAATTAGCTCTCCCTCTCAGCTCTCTATCAAGTTCAAATACAACAGCAATGTCTTCTCATTCTGTTTCAGGACAGATGTACTATTCATTGCCTACAGTATAAAGTTCAAACTCTTTATTATTATATAAAAGACTGATACCATCCTGATGCGAGTCTTTCCAGCTCATCTCAGGCCTTTCTCTCCGTATCTTATATGTTAATCACATCAACATCCTTTTGGGTCTATTCAGGCCTTGTATTTTCAAATGTCTGTACCTTTGCCCATGCTATTCCATCTGTCTGAAAGACCATCCCGCCCCCTACTCAGGATTCCTCACTCATCTTCATATTTTACATAGCTCAGTTACAATATTATCATAAGCCGTCATGATCACCTTACATTTGTCTTCTCTGGATTCCATCCTATCTATCTTTTTGTCCTGGAGTATCAAAGCACAGTGGATGGTATATTGTTGGAGCTAACAAAATTAAGTTTACTTTGCAGAACAAAATCATATCATGCTAAAAATATAAAGCATGAACATGTCCTTTGCTGCTCTCTTTTGTAAATTACCAAACAACCAACACTTAACTGCTCTCCTGCCTTTCTTAGCAAGGGCTTATCCGCCATCAGGAGCTCTAGTTTTTAGAATAGCAAAAAATTTAACTCTTACTAGCTTTCATTCCTTTTAGCAATATCCTGAACTTCCACTCTCTTCAGTGATCATTTTAGTACTTCTAGGCACTAATGAATCAAGCATTGATAAAATAGTTATTAAATGTGCAGAGCAAACATTTTTTTGAATCTGAATTTTGAATTTGAGTATCAAACATTTTTCTCTTGTGAGCTGTAACATTGAGCAGCATTTCCAATGTGTTTCCGATTAGGCTATATATAACTCAAGATCAGGAACTAAAACCTTTTAAGATGAATCGATAATACCACTTTCCTACCAGCCAAATATAGTGCTACTAGAGTTCTGAAAAATTAAAAGAGAAGCCCATTCTTAGTTGATGTTTTTAAAAAGTCTACATTTTTAATGTAGCCAAGGGCTAAACACTTCGGCCTGTGGAACAATGAAGGACAAATAAATCGTGATACACGCACTGTGACTGTATTCACCTCCCTGAGATGGACAGCCCTTTCCAGATGAGGGTGTGGCTGTGGAACACATTTAGACTGTGCGTGCTGAGAAGCTAAATTTCCAAGTGTCTTTAACTTTCCAAAGAATATATGTTCTATCCTCTGGTCTGTGTCTTTTTTTTTTTTTTTTTTAAGAGTTCTAGTCTCTCTTGACTTTGGTTAAAATGATTACCCCCCGATACCTAGCCTCATTTTCAGACAGATGTACATCTACATAAGCACCAGGATAAATTTAAATGTTGTGGTTAAACTTGAATTTAAACACATTTTTCTAGGGCTTGAAGGTTTTAAAATGCTTAATGCTTATATACTGCAGGGGGTGGGGTGGTGTGGGGAGGAGATTTTCAGAATGATTCTTAGAATGATTAACTGTTGAGTTTTATTTTTTATTGCCCTAAAACCCTCATATTAACAGTCTTTAAAAACTAGAGTAGGATACACATCCATAACAAATTAGTGTTAACTGCACTTATAAATACAGCATTAAAGTTTGCTGACAAACATTTTCTAGGACCAAAAATCTAACATTTTACATTATATCAGATTTACAGACTAAACCATTCCACTGGCCTCATTGTCTTCTGCCTCCATGCCTATTTTGCTATGCAAAAGCTTTATGTCAATTTACTTTTTGAGCCGTTTAAGACCAAACCAAATTATTCCTTCAGCACATTTTAAACAATCCCTTGAAGACCTCTTTTTCTTGGCTATGTTTCCAATCTTGGCTTATCACTATAATATTTCATGCTCCATGCTTCTGAAAAAATTCAATATTCAAGAACAAAGTAATCCAGAGCTTTACTTCATTTCAGTCGTTTTATGTCCTAGGGCTGTCCCAACTCAGTGACCCAGTTTTTATTGTGTCACATCTGTCTGTTGCTGACTGCTACCAGCTTGCCTAAGCCTTTTCCTGTCCCTTATCAGTTCTCCCTTAATTCAAAAATCTTTTTTCTTTTATTCTTTGCACCTCTCCTTTCACAGGTTTTAGTTCTTTTCTTCCTTAGGAGACTCTGTTCCTGTGGTAGCTACTCAGAAACACAAAGACGAATGGGTGACTAAGGTCCATAAGTCTGTCCTTGGCAAAATTTTCATTGTAATAGCTTTAGAATTGCAGAAAGTGGATATTATAACTCGGCAGTATGCATCAAGAGTCCTCAAAAATGCTCAGACCCTATGATCCAGCAATTTCACTTCTGAGAATCTAGCTCATTAATTTAAAAAATCATCTAAGATATGTTAAAAGCTATATACATATATATGAGATCTTTATTATAATGTTGTATATCCTTGGGGAGTTCCTTTACTTGGTCTATTAACCAAATTGATGCAAACAGATTAACAGGAGGAAAAAACCCAATTTAAGTCGTACTTACCGAGGTCTCATAGAAATGAGACCCTGAAGTGACCAAAGCAGACTGTTTATATATCATTTCTAAACAGAGATACAATTATTTGTGAAGATTTAACAAAGGGGCTAGTGCTTGGGGTAGCAGACTAACGACGAAGTGGCAAAGTTTATCTGTAGAGTTTTTTTAACCTTGAATTCCCTAAGTTGGGTGATGATAAGGATGCTTTCATCCAAGTTAGAGGTAGAGGGAGGATACTTTCACATAAGGGATTTATTTCCTGTTTTCAAGAGGAAAGAGGAGGGTCAGAGTGTTTCTATATCATTTTTTTCTCCACTGGCTGCTTCTCAAGTAATTTTAATTCAAAATAATCAATATGTCATTGTAGCACATCTTGGGGAAGCCTGTTCTGAGCCCCAACAGTATGAAAGCAAAAGAAGAAAACAACACAAATATCCAACAACAGGAGAGAAACCAATTACTATCTGTCTACTTGATGGAATCATGATTGTGCAATCATTTAAGATGATGGTTATGGGACTATAGAAAGGTGAAAATGTATAGTGCTTTCAGAAAAGCAGACTGCAAAGTTGTAAGTGCTGTTAATCACAGCTATGTTTTTAAAAAGCATTTACAAAGGGAAAACATCAAGGGAAGAGGACATCTGCTAATAGTTGTTATTTAAGGGTGTGGAAATATAGGTGATTTTCCTTTCCTTTCCTCTCAAAATCTTGATTCAACTTCTTTTAAATTTTAAGTTGTTTTTTTTTCTTCTAAAAAGAAATGTTTATTTGGCATGATAATTCATGTCCCAGAAATCGCTCAATTAAAATTTAAGTTTTTAAAAACTATAATCTTAACTGATGCAAATTAAGAACCATTTAGGTAGGTCATGTCAAATAAAATTTATAAAAGACTATTTCAGATAAAACTATTTAAGTCTACAATAATCTAACAATGGCCAGGGGAGGGGGATGGGTAAGACAGTGAATATGTCATTTTGTTTACCATTGTGTGTAATCCCCAAAAGGATGAAGTAGGAAAAAACTTCCAATACCTATTTTAAAATATAAAATGACTTTTAAAAATCTTAATAGGTTTCACTGAAGTTTATTTTACTGCCACTGACTTTATCCAGGCCAGTTTGTTCTCTCCAAAGTTACTTCATCAAGTTCTACCTCGAGTCTAACCGTTTCAGTGCGTTTTCCACCCTGCCTTCAGAGAGATCCTTCTGAAATGTGTGAGATTCCACTGGTTAACTATTCAGGGATTCCGAATATTAAAATCTTAAGCGAAGCTTACTGGCTCCTCCCAAGCTTCTCTGTCTTACTCTGTGTCCTTTCTTCTCATGCACCCTCCCCAGCAGTTTTATCAAACTACCTGTAATCCCTGAAACAGTATTTAGAGTCACTAGTATTTGTCTTTCAATACTGAAACAAACACTTAATTACCCGCTCAGTCTTCAAATCTCAGTGTTACTTTGTTTGGGAAGGCTTCTGAGAGTCATCTTTTACGGTGCCATCTCTTGATCCTACACTGCCCCTTCACACTGTGCTATCCCTGATTTGCTCATCTGCTTTTTGCGGCAGACAGTAAACTTCTTGCTATTGTGTGACAGGCAAGTGCAAGTGCGTGTGTATGTGTTTAATGGCGCTCCCCATCCCTGCCACCGCATCCCTTCCCTGTGCGCTGACTGAGAGGAGCAGTGAATGCTAAAGGGTGCTGATGGAGGGTCAGCGTGCTAATCCTGGACCCCAAGTGCTAGGGACAAAGAGGGGAGATGCACTGAAGCCAAGGACTGTTAGCTGTCACGTCCTTACTAAGGAGAAACTCATCCAATGCACCTCCATAACGAAATTAGACTTTTCCACTTTGTCTTAAAGTTGTCTTAACAAATATTTTACCTCCAACGTTGTACCATTTCTTTATCTATGAACCCTCCACTATTTCTGGTATATAGTAGGCATGCAAACACAGACTGATTATTTAAAAATCACTCTGATTTACAGGAATTTACATCCACCTTGTCTGTAATGAGAAAAAGCCCCTAGAAGGAAAAAATATAAGAAAAGACTTAGTATTTGTGAAGCTCAACATCCTAACTAGAAAACTTTAGAACAGTGTTGTGAACATCGGAAAGGATGATGTAATAGGAAGTAAGTGATGGACAAATTTATTCAAATAAAATTAAAATAAGGACTGCCTAAACTCCAAATGTGCTGACATGTAAATTTCTTCCCCATCTCAATTTTCATATGCTTACATAGGGAACCAGGTACACTCCAATAGAAAATGTTGGTTCAGCCTAACACAAAATCATGGCTTTATTGTTTAGATGAAAAACAAATGACTTGGTCATGTTCTCAATTGACTTTCTTAGTTCCCCTTTCCCACCCTTATTATATCTGTATATCTGCATTTTAAGCAATATTGTTATTACAGCATTTTTTAGTTTAATAAATGAAACACATTTTCCTAAATTTTTATAACCTTTAAAATTTTTGATGATACTAACATTTTAGTGATTCTCTTAACCCTAAATTAAAGTTTAAATGTGTAAAAGGCTCTGATATTTAAAATTAAAAACTCTGGAAACAATTAAGTAGACAAATCTTTCAAAAAAGAAAGTAGGCAAGTCTTTCTTGATCATCCCCTTAATTTATCTGCTATGAAGATTTAGTGTTCTTGTTTTATATTTTCTTATAAACTCACCTATCTATTCCTATGTGAAAACAAATGCAAACAAATACGTTTTAGAACACTGTCCAAATAGAATTCCTATTTTGAATTTCAAATTATTGAAATATACCTAGTGATGACTTTGTTATAGGGAAAAGGTTAATCAGCCAGTGCATGGGGGAGAAATCTTTGAACTTTATATGTAATAATAAAAAGCAGAAATAATAAAATTAGCATAAATTAGCATAGTTTGATCGGGGGTGATTAACAGTGGGAAGTGAAAACATATTCAAAAATTAAGAAATACAAGAACGAATAAGGCACAACATGGAAATCCTAAAATGAACATGAATTACAGAAAAGGAAAACTGGAAAGAATGACTTTTAATGTAGCTACAACTGTCTCTCAGTAAAATACATTACTTGTAAAGGCAGAAGAAAGACAATATTATATCCCTTAAGACAGTCCAATAATCACTGAAAAATAATGTTCAGATACACCCAAGCAAACTTTGTTCTTAACAAAATCTCCTTAAATAGGCTTCTCCTATTAGCAAGGGAACACACCCATTTAAGATAATGAGTGGAGCCCCTCTGGCCATCCTAGCTCTGTGTACTAACAGGCACCCTGGTTTTCAGATCAATCTTCATGTGAATTTACTGGGTATGAAGCAGTTCAGTGACTAACGATTTAGTAGCTGAGATCACAAGGGTTCACGGGCCTAGTCCAGTGCCCACTACACAGAAGACTATCTGATACACGTACTTTTTGTCTTCTCTGGCAACCCTGTCATAAAAATAACAAACCCACAGCCTAAAAGAACTGTACAGGAATGAGTTCTACAGACATTTTAACATAAATATCTTATAATTATAAAGACATTCTGCACACCACCACCATAAATACTGAATGTGGTTTTATGAACGTTACACTTTTAGGATAAAAATATTTCCTAGATGCCATGATAATCCACCTATTTTCTCCTTAACTTTAGTATAACAGATAAGACTAAGGTTAGAATTCAACCCTAGCAGACATCAGAATTTGGTGTGTTGGTTTACAAAATGTAGTCTAATACATCAGAATACTGACAAGCATTTCCATGTGCTTCACATGTACTGCCAAGTTTAAAAGAAACATACACCATCCTAGCTCCAGGTACTAACTAGAAATATGATAGTCAGGATGTAATACCCCCACTACAGACTTCTACATACCTGAAGAAGTCGACAACAACAACAAAATGCAGATATCTGGCAACAGGTAGACAACAGGTAGGCTTTAGGGTTGATTTACTGCTTTCATGTGATGTACAGACAGTCTTATCGTTGTCCCCAGCCTTGGAAATTCAGAGCTAGAGAGTATACAATTCAACACTTGATTTGTCCTTCTCACGCTAGCCCCTTGGTGTTCTCCTAACTCTTGCAGTCTTCTGGAATGATCTTTCTGATTTTCACTCATCAGCACTGGGTCAAATCTCTTCTAGACAGGATCTCATTCTTCTCATGCCTCCTCTGCTCTCAGAGAGCCGGTCAAAGTCCTGGAGGTGGAAACGAGTTGCCAACTGGTTTACCATTTTCCTCATGGTGAGAAATGCTGAAACGACTTGGAAAGTAAGGAATGCAGTGAAGATGATGTGAACTGCTTTTTCCAAGGGCAGATTCGTTAGGCCTTCATTAAAGAGCAGGAAAAGAATTAAAGGCAACTGCAGTAAAAGGCTCAAAAGCCAAAAGCCAGCCAGTTCAGGAACCTGCAATGACACACATGACGAGCATCAGATCTGTGAAGCACGGCCTTTTGTTTATATTGATAAGCAAGTACTTAGCACTGCTGTGAACCTACATTTTGAGCTCTGTAGTTTAGAAAAAGTGTAACATGGTCCTTGTCCTGGGAGAACTTACAGTCTACACTGGAAGAGAAAACTAACTTATGTGACAGTCCTGGAATACTACACTTCAGTGAATAATTAAGGGTTCCACTTAGAGTTACAGGCTAAATGCTACAAGAAGTAAGAGAGTAAGGAGGGTAGGTTAAAAAAAAATTCAAGGACAGAGGCTTTTAAAGTTGAGTATAAGGAAGGAAGAGGCAAGAAGTCAGGTCAGCAAAGATATGGAATGAGTACGACTGGGAACTGACACATCAGCCTGGAGTGGATGCTGGGTTAGGAAAAAAGCAAGAAATACAGTCAGCCAGGCGGGGAGGGGGCTAATTATGAAGGGGCTGGGAGACCACGGAAATCCTTAGGCAGCATCCCTCAGCGCTGCTAACTGTAACTGCTTAGGCAGCATGATGATTCAGAAAACATGTGCCTGGCATAGGAAATGAGTTTGTAATTTTCCTCCATTTTCTTATTCAGAATCCAAATAAACATGTTTAATTGACCAAGTATTTTCAAGACTGGAAGAGGGAAAACTATCAACTCTGAAGTGTTTACTACGTTCAGGTCCTTCATATAAATTATTTAATTTAATCGTAAAAACCTGTGAAGTAAATATTTCTCCCACTTTCTGTACGAAGAAACCAAGGCTCAAGAGATTCAGCAGTGATAGCCGTGGTAAAGGTGGAAGCCAGGCCTTTGCTCTCTCCACCGCCCCCCACTGCCTTTTCCTTGTTAGGAAAGCCCTACTGCATCCATATGCAGTAAGAGACGAAGCCAAGAAGAGCCTACCTTCTCCTGCAGATTCCCCATGTAGCCCAGGTACAACCTTATGGCTTCAATTAAGGTGACTAGGATGATGACAGTGACCACAATGAATTTGTAGTAATCAGGCAAGATTGAATACTGAAAACACAAAAATAAACATGTTTGTAAAATATTACATAGTGTAAAACTGACCTGAGATTTAAAAAAATATATGAATTTAATTTTATTGACAATGTAACAACTCCAGGGATGGCAGAAGAGACCGTGGCAGTAGTGAAACATGGATTTACCTTCACCTGAAGCATCGTGATGCTGCTCACCCACCAAAGTGGGAAAAAGTAAGCGTTAAAATAAAGTGACATCTGCAATGCCAAACTGGAAACCATTTCATTATCTACAGAAGACATAGAAAAGGAACAAACTCTTAATCCTGGCCTGTGCCCTCAAGCCCTTTAGTTCCTTAGTATTAATAACTATAGTATCAGCTCAACAAAACTTTGAGTTTTAAGCCTATTTACAATCATTGACAGTGAAAAGAAATAGTCATTATAATACTGTTTAGTTCCTCTACTGGCTACTTGGGGGTACATTTCACAGTTTTAAATTACTCTATCATTTTTCCACTATAGTCAGCTGACTTTTCTGCATACTACAGGTCTAAGTTAAACGTGGACTATCAACATAAATCTATTTAACAGGTAACAATAATCACTACCTCCTTTGTAGAGTTCTGTGTAAAGAGTTTATGAAATGGACACTTAAGATACATAAAAACTAATCTCTCACATGTAAATTAATCTCACATAAAAACTGTCGTCAAATTTTGCGAAGTTTTTATGTTAGAAATTTTGTACACAAGCATCTTGAGTTATGCTATATGTCTGTATTTCAGCAGATCAAACTTATAATCATGCAGTTGAAAAATCAAGTAAATATGTAAATGAACCTTGAAAGCACAAGACATGATTTTACTAAATTCTGCAAAAGTACAAGCTGAGTTCTGTAAATGGAATTTAAATTAAAACATTATATAAATCAGGGGTAGGCAAACTACCAGCCAGCTGCCTGTTTTTGTATAGCAAGTGAGCTAAAAATGGGTTTTCACACTTTTTAATGGTTGGGGAAGGGAAAAAAAATCAAAGAATAATAATATTTTGTGACACTGAAAATCGTATGAAATTCAAATTTTAGTGTCCATAAATAAAGTTTTACTGGAACACTTCCATGTCTATTCAATTACCATTATCTATGGCTGCCACAGAGACCTATGGCCTGCAAAATTTTTAAGTATTTACTACTTGGTCCTTTACAGAAATCCCCTGACAGTTTATATCAACAGATTTTAGTTCCCATTAGGCCTTAGCTTTAGAATCAGAAACGTAAAACCCTGATTTTCCAATTGTTTTTCTCTGTACATCCTAAATCATGAAGAGGCCTAACTTGGAGGGATAGGCAAGTGATCGGTGAAAAAATGAAACCATGGGAACTGACTTTTGTCTGTCCCCTTTAAAAACAAAATCCCTAAACCAGGCAACAGGAAAAGATTTCTACTTCTCGGCATAGTTCAGTGATAAAAACCTTACAGGCTTAGTTGACAGTATGTTGTCTATCATCATGATTTAAGAGGGGGAAACTGTTTTGGAGGAAACTGCGTTGTCACTTGCCATGCTGAATGTAGCATCGTGGTATTTTGTTACTTGATTTAGGGCAAGCGTTATATATAGGGGAGGGGGAGGAGAAGGCAGGGAGAGGGCGAGTTTTGTTGAAGGCAGCTGCCACTCTGGAGTGTTGAAAATAACTCGTTAAAAAAAAAAAGTCTTTCCATGTCTTCAGCCAGAAAATAGGCTTGTGGTGGAACGTACTGGTTCTGCTGGGAAAGGAGAAAAGGAAAAGATATCTTACGGGGGTGGGGGCGGGTGGAAGGGGAAAGTGGGAAGGGGAGATTGCCCGGGCTGTTTTCACTCCATCCTCGCCAGAAAAGCCAGGGCGGACGCCGCGGACGAAAAGCATTCGGCATCCTCAGCCCTCTCGGAGGCCGCAGGATCGGTCATGTGCTGCGAAAGCGGCTTCTTTATTTTTCTTTTTTGAGGAAGGCTGGCGCCACTTCGGCCGCCCCGCTTGCAATTCACCGGACAGGCCGCAGCACGATCAGCCCAGGACGGCTGGGTATCTGCTCCCAGTCCCAGCCCCAGCCCTCGGCCCGGCCCCTCCTCCAAGGCGCAGTCCGCACCGCGGAGAGCCTGCTGAAGGCGAAACTGCCATTTTAGGTCTGGGCAAAGTCCGGCCGCTTCAAAACCCGCGCCAGGTCCTTGGCGGGCCACACGCCCTGCGCTGGGCCTCGGCCACTCACCCGGACCCTCGCTATACTCCGGCCCGGTCCGGTTGGAGTCGCTGAACATGGTCCGGCTGAAGTTTCCCAGCCGCTGGCGGACCGGACCCGGCAGCTCCATCCTCGGGCCTCGGTAGAGCTCGCTGCTGGATCTCCCGGCGCCGCGGCGCTTTCCGGTTCCCACGGCGACCGGGCGGCGCGAGGCGCGAGGGGCCGGGCGCACGCGCGGCCGCACTGCCGGGCTGAGGCGCCGGGCGCCCGCGGAAGCCAGCGGTGTGCGCGGGGCCGGCTCCTGCCTAGTACTTCAGTCGGGTGGAAAACCGCAGATTCCTTAGTCCTGCTTTAAATTCTACCATTTAAAAAACGAATATAGTGATAAGTAACCTGGGGTTGGACTGTGATACAGGGAGCTCTGACACCTTGCCAGTGGGATACGACCTTTCTGGAAGGAAATATAGAACGAATGCAGAGCTTAGAGAATACTCATGACCCCGTAGTTCATGCGTGTATGTGTGAGTACATGTACTCTCTTCTGGAAATATGTATTATTATATATTAGGAGTATTGTATATATACATACCATATATACGTATACACATATACTTTCTTATAGGGGTATATTATATATATTAGAAATATATACACATATATACATATATATTTGATGGAATACATTGCAGCAATTTCAAAACATGCAACGAATATTTGATGATATGGATTAACTTTAAGTAAAAATAAAAAAAAATCTGAAGTAAAACTAAGTAAGAATAAACCTAATCTAGTAAAATGTGTGTGTAAACATGTGGGAAGGAGAGAGGGAGGAGATGGCACAAGTACTGTGGCTTCAAAAAAAGACTAGAAGGAAAATAATCCAAAATATTAATAGTAGTTATTTCTAGATAGTAGGCTGTGGTGATTTAAAATTTTTAAAACTTTTGTGAATTTTCCAGCTTTCTCGCAAATAAGATATATTATTTAAAAAATCTGTTTAGGTATAATATACATATAGGAAGGGCACAAACTGAATATACATTTGTAACCAGCACCCAGATCAAGAAACAGCCTTACCAGCGTCCCCAGAAGCTCGCCCTTCTGTTCCCATGTACTCACTAACCCTCTACTTCTAACTGACCTTTCCTGATTTTCAATAGCATGGAATAGTTTTGCCTATTTTTATTCTTTATACAAAAGTAATCTTACATTATGTACTTTAAAAAAAAGCTACCTCTGCCCTCAAAATTATTTTTATGAAATTCCTTCATATTGTTGAGTGTAGATTCTTTTTCCTTGAGGTGTAACCTCAAGGTGTAACATAAGTTTATCCATTCTACTGTTGAGCAGCTGTGTAATTCTGATTTGGAGCAGTTATGATAGTGCTGCTTTTGGTGAAAACATGCCTTTTGGTGAACATATGCATGCATTTGTGTTGGACTTGTTCCTAGGAATGAAATTGCTGGCTTATGAGGTATGACTCAGCTTTAATAGATACTGCCAACAGTTTTCCAAAGTGGTTGTACTGATTTCTACTGCCTCTAGTCATGCATGAGCATTTTATTTGCTGCAAATCCATCACCCATACTTGTTATTTTCCATACTTTTCTTTTAGCCATTCTGATGGGTATGTGGTGAACAACATTATTTTTGTATTATAAAGGAAAACCACACATATTTATATAAATGTCAAGAGGATGATATGGGAGGAAATAGCTACAAGGGTAGAATTTCAAAATAATTCAACAAATATTTATTGCATTCCTCCTCCTTGTGGGGCATTGTCCTAGGCTAATTAGGGATATAGTTCCTCCACATCAAGAAGGTCAGCCAAGTGAGAGACATGGAAACAAACAAGTACAGTACATTTTAGTAAAGGAACATCGATGAGGGAGCAGTTAATTCTGGTTGGGGATGTCAGGAAAAAGCTGGCTAACTTCTGCTTCTCTTCAAGGTGGAGCTCAGGCCTCAGCATCTCCAAAAAGTTTTTCAGGACCTCCCTGAAGCTGGCTTAAGTGCCCTCCACTGTGTTTCTCAAAGCATCTTCCTCTTTGTTCCTTTGGTCACAGTGCTAGTCATGCTGTACTATAATTGTCGATTTATATCTGTTTCTCTTGCTAGTTCACAAGCTCTTTGAGGTCAGGGATGGACTTTCATCTTTATATTCGAAACACTAGCACAATGCCTGACCTAGAATCAGAACTAGATGACTATTGAATGAATGAAGGGAATGAAAAAATCTAAAGACCATTCCTTTATCGTCCCATTTCTAGTTCAAGGGCTTAGCCAATCTTCATATAAGTGTCACTCTATAAAATGGAGAATTGATTTATCAAAACACAGTGAATTGTAGCAACCAAAACAATTTTAAGCTTAGCAACAAAGAATAAATTTTCGTCTATTGAATTAATCAAGATTTTTATAAAGGGCACAGTGGGGCAGGGAGCCTCCTGCTCTGCTGGTTGGATTATAATTTGAGCAGTCTTACTGAGGAAAGCTATCAATAATATATTCAAATTGCCTTAATATATTCCTGCCTTTAATGCACTAATTCAACTTTTTGGCTCTATTTGGGGGAAATAATCATAAAAACAAATAAAGTTTTGTACACTAGGATATTACTTCTAACGTTACTGATGTTTGTTAAAAAGATAATAAAGGTAGGGGAGCATTTGAAGTGTCCAACCACAGGGCCTTGCTATGCAGATTATGATACTCATGGTGAGATATTGGGCTGTAATGGAAAGGATGCATTTGGAAGCAGAGACAGCAAGGTTCAAATCCCCTCAAATCTGGAGGGGTAGGTATAGCTCAGTGGTAGAGTGAATGCTTAGCTTGTAAGAGGTCCTAGGTTCAATTCCCAGTATGTCCAATAAAAACAAAAAGTTTTATAAAAATCATCACTTTACCGCCTAAGAGCTGTGCAATTGCTTTCTGACTTTTTGTTTTGTAAAGTGGGAACAGTGCTAACTTACTGTTATGGTTGATGTGAAGATTATATAATTAAACAAGGCTTTCTATAAGTGGTAGCTATCATCAACACATCTATTAAAATATGTAGGAAGAAGAAATACTTACAGTGGAGTGAAATCATGCTAGTGTTTAATTTTCTGGATTCAGCTGTACCTGTGATGCAGTACCTCTATTGCGTTCCTGGTAAAGGCAGTGGATGCTATTAACCGTAAAACGGTCCATGCATATTAACCAAATTCGTCAAGAACCTGAGTGAATTCTTTTAAAGATATTTTTCACAGCATGGAACAAAGATGTGACACATCTTGTTCAGGCTGCAATTATTTCATCAAAATACTGGAGGAAAAATTGATAGAATTCTGGGTGTTTTCCTTTTAATTTTATTTAGCATTCAAATTTCCTGCAATAAGCATGCATTTCATGGTTTGAAACAAATCTTATTAGAAATAGAGGGGAAGAGGCAATGATGGTACAAAAACATATTACAGAAGAGTTTTGAGAAGAAAAGTTTGTGGTTTGGAAAGAATCCTGCCATTGTTGATGTCACAAGTGGTCCAAAGGGCTCAAAAAACATTCCAAAATTTACTGTGTTAGTTGATGCTCACAATATTATGGGGAGTCACGTTGGTAAAATACTGCAGAACAGAGAAGAGAATCCACTTTTGTGAAATCAGGAGACTAATATAATTTGGGTTTCCCATATCTAGACCTATTACCCAGGATCAAAAGTAGAGAAGTATGGAGTCTCCATTCTTAAAATCGTGGGACTCATTCCCAGGAAGATTAATAAATAACCCTGTAAAGTTAAACTGTTGACTTCTTACAACAGTGTTGATGGTCAGAGTAATAATTGCTTCTCTAGTAATTGTTTAATGTATTTCATTGGGGTTTAATTGCATTTATCATTTTCTTTCTTAAATATTTATTTTCACAAAAATTTTGAGCCTCCTGCAACAGTTTGTTTCTCTTTGACAAGAGGCAATGTTATCTGGTAATAACATATTCTTCTTTGTGACAAGAGACTGATTTGGGGAGTTATTTAAATTACCCCTTGGCAAAATAAAGATATAAATTCTTGGTGGGGAGAGTATAGCTCAAGAGGTAAAGCACATGCTTAGCAGGCACAGGGTCCTGGGTTCAATCCCTGGTACCTTCTCTAAAAAAAAAAAATAATAATAAACCTAATTACCTACCCCCGCCAAAAAAGAAAACATTCTTTCCACTTGATACTAATAAAGAGTTTAGAAAAAATATTTTAAAGTAAACATGTTATTCCATTTATTGCCTTAAAATGAGCTGTGAGACATTTATAAGAATGAAGAGAAATTTAAAAGATTAGTTATATATGTGGGTACAGTATCTTCAGATATGATTCCACATTGGCATGCAGAATTTAAAGTCCTGTTCTAAACTACCTGAAGTGTAATCTTACCATCCTCAAGTTGTCAGTGGATAATCAAAAGCTTTCTGAATCCCAAGTACAAGATATTCTATTCACAGTACTTTTCAAAGGTTTATAAGAAAGAATTGGGCTGCGAATTACACAGAAAGTCCAATCTCATGAAAGGAATTGTGCTTACTATATTAAATGATATTTCAAGAGTAACGTTATTCTGTCTTCAAAGACATCCTCATTGAGCATTTTTACTAGAAAGTGCTTTTCCCTTTAAAGTGCTGTTTATATCATAGTTTTTTGTTTCTGTGGTGTTTCTTTGTATTAGATCACCACACTCTTTATATGCTACAGCTAGCACTGCTCTGGGCGTCCAACTACGTGGGAAATGGGAATGACCAACAGGGAAGATCAGTAAAGCAAAACCTTTAAGGAAACCTCAGATCTGTCAAGTGAATTGTGATACTGATTAGAAGCAAGTGGCCATTTTACTGAATAAATAGTAAGTTCCATTTTTAGTGTGATAGTATTACTGTGCAAATAATATGTTTTCTATTAAGCTGCGTAATGTGTACATTATGTTCCCCTTTCTGAAAGGAAATTAATCCTTATCTTTTATTGACTATAATAAAATATTGCTCCCTTCCCAAATATTAATACATCTTACTCCCTCTGGCTTGTTTTAAATTGTGGTTCTGTGCTTTTAACAAATAGTACACTTTGTCTTCAGTAACACTATACATTGCTTAGTCATGTTCAGTTTTGATCCCCAATCACATCAAGGTTGTAAGAGTAGAAATCTTATAAATGGGCAATTTAGTATTAAAATGAAGGGTGTACACATAGGTAAAAAGTTCAAACATATTTGAATGATTTATTATGTTTATATCAATGAATAACACAACCCTCCAAATTTTCTTGAAGGTAAATTTGCTTTGCAAAAATAGGAAATCATTGCAATTATTCCTATATCACATTCCCTTCCCTACTGTATTTTTAGTTAACACAGAATTGTTCTTCTTTCTTTCCTTTTTTTTTAGACACATGCTGTGAAGATTAACAGAGGTTCCAGGTGGTTGGAGACAAGTGTAATAGGATGTGAACAGG